GGGAGCTGGGGAGGGGGGAGCTGGGAGGGGGAGAAGATGGGGAGGGGGAGATGCTGGGGAAGGGGAGCAGATAGGGACGGGGAGCAGCTGGGGAGGGGGGAGCTGGGGAGGGGGAGATGCTGGGGAGGGGGTAGCTGGGGAGGGGGAGCAGATGGGGTGGCACAACTGGGGTGCTGGTCCCTGAGCCCCTCCCGGTGCCAACAGCCTTCACAAAGAAGCTGGACCCGGCTTACCAGGTGGACAAGGGGAATAAGATTAAGCTGGTGGTAGAGATCAGTGACCCTGACCTGCCCCTCAAGTGGTACAAGAACGGGCAGGAGATCAAGCCCAGCAGCAAGTGAGCGCGGGTGGGGGGGGGGCAAGGCTGGGAGGGCCTGGAGAAGAGGGAAGGTCAGAGCTGGGAGGGGCCTTAGAACGTGGAATGTCAGAATCGATGGAGGGGTGATAGCACAGAACCCAGAAGGCTTGAGCTGGCCATTAACCTCAGAATGAAGTGACAGTTGGGTGGGGCCTTCTCAGTGGGAGCACCCCACCCCGGAACCCCAAGGGACCTTGGGAGGTAAAATGTTGCTCGTCACAAGCTGCGGTGCCCACGAGGTGGAGCAGAGGCGGGGGGGGGCCCGGGGGGGCGGGAGGGGAGGGGCTCGGTGCCCCGGCGGGGGGGGGTCCTCAGCATCCCTGCGGCTGGGTCAGGTACGTGTTTGAGAACGTGGGCAAGAAGAGAATTCTCACCATCAACAAGTGCACTCTGGCCGACGATGCCGCCTATGAAGTAGCTGTCAAGGATGAGAAGTGTTTCACGGAGCTCTTCGTCAAAGGTGGGGGGCTCGGACAGGCGGGGGGGCGTGCCAAGGGGCTCTGGGGGGCTTCCCCCCCGCTGACCATCCCTCACCTGCCCCTCAGAGCCCCCGGTCCTCATTGTCACACCCTTGGAGGACCAGCAGGTGTTTGTGGGTGACCGCGTGGAGATGATGGTGGAGGTGTCAGAGGAGGGAGCCCAGCTCATGTGGCAAGTGATGTCGGGCTCCTTCCTGGTTCCCAGCCTTTTCCCTCGGCTCCTGACCCCTCTACCCCTGACCTGTGTGCACCGCAGGGACCCAAGCCATGCACAAGCCCAGGTCCTATCCTGGGACTCCCCTCCCCACCCGGCATAGCCCCAACAAACACCCCCTCTTATTTCCTGTCTCCCACGCGGCCCTGATGCCCTCACCATGATCCCCGGACCCCTCCCACCCCTGTCTTATTCCCAACTTGCCATGAGGCCCCAGCCCTCCAGTGTTCCCTGGATGTGAGCCCTCCCCTCTCCTCTGCTCCTCCCAGGATGAAGGACGGTGTGGAAATGACCAAGGAGGATTCCTACAAGGCTCACTACCGCTTCAAGAAAGATGGGAAGAAGCACCTGCTGATTTTCACGGAGGTCACCCTAGAGGACACGGGCCGCTACATGGTCATGACCAACGGCGGCCAGTGTGAGGCGGAGCTCATTGTGGAGGGTAAGGGGGCCCTCGCGGGGAGGGGCTGGAGGCCGGACCAGCTGGGTCTGCCTGGCTCTGGAACCCAGGCCCGGTGGCACTGTGCACCTACCTGGGATTGCCCAGTGTAAGGAGCTCACTCCCAATCACCTCCTCCAGGACAGCAAAACTGAGGGGAAGAAGAAAAGATGCATGGGTCCCCAAAGGGCCTCTGGGGGCTGGAATTCAGAAGGCCCTCTCATCTTCTAGTCAATTGAGTTCAACTCAACCACCATTTATGAAGCACCAACTATGTACAGGGCCCTGTGTTCAGTGCTGGGGGAGACAGGAATTTTACATAACACCAAGTTCCTGCCTTCAGGGAGGTCACAGTCTAGTAGACTATGCCATACACATTTATGAAGCGCCGACTGTGTACAGGGCCCTGTGCTCAGTGCTGGGGGAGACAGGAATTTTACATAACACCAAGTTCCTGCCTTCAGGGAGGTCACAGTCTAGTAGACTATGCCATACACATTTATTAAGTGCCGACTATGTACAGGGCCCTGTGCTCACTTATGAGGGAGGCAGCCCTCCTGTTACGTCAGATCTCTGCTCCCAAGGAGTGCATAGTTTAATAGGAGCATTCCACTCCATTCAGTAAGCATTGATTAAGCACCTAAGGTATGCAGATCGCATACTCAGTCACCACTGGGGCCATCCAGGGCTCAAGGAGTAGCTGATACCTGAACACACCCTCCCTCCCTCCAGAGAAGCAGCTGGAAGTCCTCCAGGACATCGCGGACCTGACGGTGAAGGCCTCAGAGCAGGCCGTGTTCACGTGTGAGGTGTCTGATGAGAAAGTGACTGGAAAGTGGTACAAGAATGGCGTGGAAGTGCGGCCCAGCAAGAGGGTCAGCATCATCCACAAGGGCCGGTGAGAGCCGAGGGGGCCGGGCGCCATTCATCAACTTCCAGCCACTCCACGGTCCAGCCCATCCTTTGGAGGAGCACCCAAGGCCATGGGGACGGCGGCCCAGGGAGGCTGAGCACTGTGCGGAGTGGGGCCGGGTTTCTGGGGCCACTCGGTTTAGCCAGACTCTGTGCACAGGGGCACAGCTGTCACAGGTCGTGGGGTTTGGCTAGTGCGGACCCCACCTCTGCTTCTGCAGCTGGTGTTGGCTGCCCTTAGCCCTGTCCCAGGGCCGAGCAGAACATTGGTCAGCCTGGAGGAGGGAGGACTCAGGGAGCACCTTTGGTCAGCCCGGAGGAGGGAGGACTCAGGGAGCACCTTTGGTCAGCCCGGAGGAGGGAGGACTCAGAGGACATGAGGGTGGGGTTCTGGCGTTATGAGGCTGTCCTGGGGAGAAGGGATGGGGCTCTTTCTGTTTGACTCCGAAGGGCAGCACCTGGTGTGGTGAGTAGAGACAGTCGTGGCCCAATGTCACAGAGAACTTCCTAACCGTTAGACGTGCCCCAGCGTAGAAAGGGGGCCAGGCTCTCCCTTCCTGGAGGATGGGGATGACCCCATGGTGAGGCTTAGTCTGGATTGCCCTCAATGGCTGGCGGGGCCTCAGTTTCTTCCTATGTGAAATGGAGCCCAGAGAGCTGACCTTGGGAGCTGGGTGGGAGTCCTGCCTCTGACCACACTGGCTCCATGACTGTGGGCAGCTCCCGAGAAGGCAGCCACCTGCATTGCCTTAGGAAATTAATTCGCTGTACCAGTGAAATCGACCCCGTGTAGGAAGGCAGCGCACAGTTACCTAGCGCTTTATGAAGATTCTCTCCTTCATGATCCCTGTTTTACAGATGAGAAAACTGAGGCTGAGAGGAGGGTCACACAGTGAGGAAGGAGCTGAGGGAGAGTTCAAACTCAGGCCTTTGCAATCCTCGGTGCCTCCTAGTTCCCTATCGATCAATCAGTCAAGAAGCATTTATTTAATGCCACTGTTAGCCAGGCTCTATGCGAGGTGCTAGGGATGTAAAAACAGGAGTGAAACATATCTGCCCTCAGAGGGTTTACGCTCTAATGGGGAAGCCATGCACCCACTGTGTGCCAAGTTCAACCCTCTCCCTTTACGGATGTGGAAACTGAGGCCCAGAGCAGTCTGGCCAGTCAGCCGGCATTCATCGGTGCCTTCTCTGGGCACAGCTGTGGGGACACACAAGTCCTGCCTCTGTTGGGACAGTCAGCAGGGATAGAAATAGGAATGGAAATATTTACAGCAGCCCTGGGGGGCGGTGAGGAGGGCAAGAGGTGGGGGCCGCTGACCCGCATCTGGCTCCCTGCCCACTCCCGGCAGACCTCGGTGACCTTAGGCCCCTTCCCACTTAGCAGCCTGTCATCCCAGGGGTTCCAGGGGGCCATGACCTGAGGGGTGGGGTGAGGGGCGCAGGGGCGAGGCCTCCGGGCCTCTCACCTGTTACAAATGTCACAGTGTTATATGCAAACCTGCTCATTTGCCTAAAGCCCATGGAATGTGTGGGTCCTCACTCCCCCACCTGCCTGTGGGCTGCATGTAAATGAGGCGGAACCCTATTGTCCTGAGAATTCCATGGCCATCCACGGGGGGGGGGGGGTGGCGGGTCTAAGACGCAGAGGGAGAAGACCCCTCCCTGTCCCCGGGTTCTCTGCATCTGTAGTATGGGATGGCACAGCTCCCTTCCAGCCCTGATTCCCGGCATCCCACAGACCCACGTTCCCCCTGCAGATTCCACAAGCTGGTCATCGATGACGTCCGTCCTGAGGATGAGGGCGATTACACGTTTGTGCCGGATGGCTTTGCCCTGACCTTGTCAGCCAAGCTCAACTTCCTGGGTGAGACTGACCCCCACTCCGACTGCGTCCCTCAGGCATTGTGTGATCAAGGAACAGTTTGTCTCCATCACTGAGCCTCAGTTTATTGTTCTGTCAAATGGGGGCGTGAGCTCAATGAATCACGTTCCCAGATTTGGAGCCCCGTGCCTGATGCCCCATGGCAGGGCCTTGTTGATAGGAGAAAGGACCCAGCCCAGCTTTCTAAGACCATTTCTAAGAATGCCAGAGCAGGGCCGCAGAAGGGGGGTCCAGGTATGAGGCAGCTCCGGCCCCTGGGGCCGTTTGGGAGAACGCAAACCATGTTTCTGGAAGGAATTCGCCAAGCGCTCCAACAATTAGGAGGTCTTGGGTGAGGAACTTAAGACCACAGAGGAGTGGTTTGGGTTTTCCTGCCTGTCGCCCGTGGAGGGAAAGAGATGCCCCCAAAATGGATCTGGGAATTGAACAGTTTCACCGGAAGGTGAGATGGGAATCTGCTGGGATGATAGATTCCTGGCCAAGCATTTATTAAACACCTACTGTGTGCCAGCACCCTGCGAAGTGCTGGGGATGCAGAGAAAGGCAGAAGGAGAAAAGAAACCCCACCCAGGCTGGTAAGAAAGCGCTGGCCAGGGGTCCTGCACCGGTAACAGAAAAGGCAGGATTGCAGAGAGAGAAAACTGCCTTATGTGAATCCCCAAGATATTTACCAGAGAGCAGGGGCTAAACGGGGAACTGCGAACTTAAAAGAAAGTGTGTTTTGATAACTATTTCAGTAGAATTGGTTTCCTGTGTAATCCTACATATAATTATTTAAAATGTGACTCTCAGAAGACCTCACTGTAGGTTTCCCCGGCGTGAGTGACTGCTCACGGTCCACGCTGCAAGCAAAGGCAAAGAAATTCACTAGAGATCAATGTGATACAGTGTCTCACAATTCACTTCCCCAGTGGCACGCGCTGCCTGGGAGGCATGGGCCGGCCCTCTGCAGCCCTTACTGGAAGACCACTTCTTCCGTATGGTCTGGCGGCCATGCTTTTCACGGAAGGCTTGCATTAGTCGGCCGCTGAGGCCCCTTCCAAATCTCAAATTCTGTGAGTCTGATGTCAGTGGGCCAATAAACATTCATCAAGCGCTAGGCCCTGGGTAAGTGCCGAGGATATAAAAGACAGTACCTGCCTTCGAGCAGCTTACAGTCCATTTGGACTCCAAGATGGGGAGGCAGAATTAGGCAGCAGCTGTTCAGAAAAGGATCTGGGGGTTTCAGTGGACTGCAAACTCAAGCAAACTGAGTGAATGGGGACACGTGGCAGCCAAGAGGGTCACAGCTTCAGGAATAGGAAGAACGTCCTAAAAATGAGATCTGCCCTACGGTGGAACAGGGCTGCCTTGAGAGGCAGTGGGCTTCCCTTCCTTGGAGGGCGTCGTGCTCAAACTGGACCCTGCTCACCTGGCCGGTATATTGGGGAAATAGACAGTGGGTGTTCCTTTGTGCGTGAGTTAGAATAGATAGTCACTGCCGTCCCTTGCCGCGCTCGGATTCTGTGATTCAGAATACTGAATTGGAATGGGTCCTGGAAGGCATCATGCTATCACAGACCCCCTTCATTTTACAGAAGAAGAAGTACTCAGTGGGGTGTGGGGAGGGGACCAAAGTCACAGAGCTAGTAATTGGCAAGACCCTCAGATCCCAGGCAAACCATTCTCTCTCTGGGTCTCAGTTTCTTTCTCTGTCAAATAGGGGCAAAGGCCTTCCCTGGCCACTTCACAGGCCCCAGGAGTCCTGGGGAGGGCACTGTTGAGCATCCATTCAGGGGTATTCCCAGGGCTCCAGGAGGCCCCCCAGTTCCCCATCCTCTCCCTCTCAGGACTCTGTCCTCCTGGTCTTCATCTGCCCTATATCCCGTGCCTGGCAGCAAGGGCATATGAGATGGGGTGGGGGGGTGCTGAAGCCCCAGCGGCCAGCCCTAAGTTCCTGATAGCTTCCTCTTTCTCTCACTTCCAGAGATCAAGATCGATTATGTTCCCAAGCAAGGTAAGTACTGCTGAACGGGGCAGGGGTGGGGCTGGAGGAGCTGGCCTTTTGGATCCCAGAGGGGAAGGGGGCAGAGAGGCCCGGGAACCATGCGGAATGGCTGGGTCCCCAAGGATAGTGAAGGCTGGGGAGCTGGACACCTCTGCTCTCTTGAATCCCTGGGTCCCCGAGAGCACTGCGGGGCTGGGAGTTCTGATGTGTGGGTCCCCAAAGAAGGTCAAGGCTAGAATCAGGTGCTCTAAGAGGAGCAGTGGCTGGGGCCCCTGATGGTGTTCAGGACCTGCGAGGGGCAGGCCGCAGGGAGGCTGCCTTGGGCATCCTGGGCTTGGGAGGACCCAACTCTCTGTACCCCATTTGCTCCCAGAGCCCCCCAAGATCCACTTGGACTGCTCAGGGAAGACCTCCGAGAACTCTATCATAGTGGTGGCTGGAAACAAGCTCAGGCTAGATGTGGCCATCACAGGAGAGCCCCCTCCCACGGTCACCTGGTTGAAGGGGGATCAGGTATGGGGCTGGGGAGATGGGTCTTTCCTTGGGCATCTTTCTCTTCCTCCCTCCCTCTCTCCCTGGTCTGCCCCTCACTTGCTCTGGAACCTGGGGGGGCAAGGCCCCTGTCACTCTGGGCTTCTTTATCTGTTTAAAACAAAAAAGGAGGGGAAGGAAGGGGAGTGGGGGAGGGGAGGGAGGGAGGAGAGTGGGAGAGGGGAGGGAGGGACAGGGGGGAGGGGAGGGGGAGGGCTAGACCCTCCAAGAAGCTCTGATGCTCCTGTCCCTTTCTCCACCTCCCCCTTTCTCAAGGGAATTCAGCGAGGCTTGACTGGCCTTCCTGGCTGACAGCCAGTTCCATGCCTGAGCCCGGGCTCTGCTGGGTCAGCAGAAAGGGGAAATCATCTCCTGCCCACCTTCCCCAGGACCTCAGAATCTGGTGCTGCCAGGGCCTTGAGAGTTCATTAGTGCAACTCCATCTTAAATATGGGGAAACTGAGGCCAAGCAGGGTTTGTGCAGGCTCCTACGGGGGCCTTATGCACAGAATCCCATCCTCCTCAAGATAAAAAGGACCTTGGCGATCAGGGCCAGCTCCCTTATTTGTCAGACAGGGAAACTGAGGCCCCAGCCCACGCGGACAGTCAGGGTTTCTGAATTCCGTCTTCTGGCTCCCTCGACCTGAGAATCAAAGGTTTCTCGCCCGGCACCCCATGGCCCTCCTCCTTTCCTAGGTGTTCTCTAGCACCGAGGGCCGGGTCCGACTGGAGCAGCGGCCAGACAGCAGCTGCTTTGTGATCGAGGGGGCTGAGCGGGCCGATGAGGCCAAGTACACCATCAAGGTCACCAACCCCGTAGGCGAGGACACAGCCTCCATCTTTGTCAAGGTCGTAGGTGAGTGGGGAAAGGGCTTGGAAGGGCTGGGTGGAGCGGGGCCAGGTGGTAGGGGAGAGGGAGACTGTGGGGCTGGGAGAAGGAGGAGGTGGGAGGGGCCTTGGGGAGGGCGAAGATGGTGGGATGGCTTTGGCCTCCACAGGCCTGACCTTTCCCCCCTCCCTCCAGATGTGCCGGACCCTCCTGAAGCTGTGCGGATCACGTCGGTGGGGGAGGACTGGGCCATCTTGGTCTGGGAGCCCCCCAAGTATGACGGTGGCCAGCCTCTGACCGGTGAGTCAGCTGGGCCTCCCTCCGTAGGGCTGAGGTGCGAGCCGGTCTCAAGGATGGGGCAGTAGCAGAGAAGGGCTCCTAAGAAGTGGACCTTCCACGATGCCTTTGAGCTCTGGTGCTCCTACCCAGCTTCCCTGTGGCGTCTGATTCCCCTTTGGCCTGCGACCCGCTAAGGACCACCTGGCTTTATCGTGGTGCCTTGGCGACTCCCGCCGAGTGCCTCCGTTCTCTCCCCTGACCCCCAGGGTACCTCCTGGAGAGGAAGAAGAAAGGCTCCTCCCGCTGGATGAAGCTGAATTTCGAGGTCTTCACGGAAACGACCTACGAGTCGGCCAAGATGATCGAGGGCATCCTCTATGAGATGCGCGTCTTTGCTGTCAACGCCATCGGGGTCTCCCAGCCGAGCATGAACACCAAGCCCTTCATGCCCATTGGTGAGGAGCGAGCACTGACTCAGTTTTCTCATCTGTAAAGTGAGAGGGTTGGACTCCCAGCTGAGTCCCACGACGATCCCAATTAGACGATCTAACTGACCTAAGACGCTCCCAATGGCCTGTGACTTAGTGAACCTCTGACCTAACTCTGACTCGCCTCGGGCATCCTCCTGGACGACCCAGGGTCCCCCATCACATCCCCTCAGGGCCACCTGCCTTCCTTTCATCCTTCTCCGCCCCCTTGGCTGGCCTTTCGGATCCCCTCCCGCTCTCCCCTGCTCTCACCCCTGACCCGTCGAGACCTCTGCTCTCTGTAGCTCCCACGAGTGAGCCGCTGCATCTGACAGTGGAGGATGTCACTGATACCACCACCACACTCAAGTGGCGCCCACCAGACAGGATTGGGGCCGGGGGCATCGATGGCTACCTCGTGGAGTACTGTTTGGAAGGCTGTGAGTGACCTAGGAGGCTGCCTCTCCCCGCCCTCTGGGGGTTCCCGCCTCCAGGTGCCGTGTTTCCTTGTAGTCTGGGAGGCACCAAGAGGCACGGGGAGGGGTGGGCTCGGCCAGGGGCTGGAGGGGAGTCCTAAGCCCCCTGCATTCCATCCCCCTCCCAGCTGAAGACTGGGTCGCAGCCAATACTGAGCCTGTGGAGCGCTGTGGCTTCACGGTCAAAGGCTTGCCCACGGGAGCCAGAATCCTCTTCCGCGTGGTTGGGGTCAACATCGCGGGCCGCAGTGAGCCGGCCACCCACGTCCAGCCAGTCACCATCCGGGAGATCGCACGTGAGTGACCCACTGACCTACCCCTGTTACTGGCCGGCCACGCCGAGGCCAAAGGCATCCAGAGGTGCAGCCAGAGGTCTCCTCACTGGGTCTCCCACCAATGCTCTGACTCCGGCTACTGTGGGCTAAGAGCGCCCTCCTGAGGTCATCTGGGGGTGACCGTTGACTTCTTATGGACACCTCTCATCAGACACAACCTGTCACAGTTCTAGAGTGACCAGCGGGCCTTGACCTCCCACTGACAGTGGCCACCATGAGCCAAGGTCAACCTCCTGCCCCTTAACCCCTGACCTCAGACACCCTGGGCTAGAGTTCATGTCCTTCTTTGGTCTCTGAATCCTGACCCCCCTCCCACTCCTGTTCTGCCCCCACCCCAGAACAACCCAAGATCCGGCTCCCAAGACACCTTCGGCAGACTTACGTTCTCAGAGTCGGGGAGCCGCTCAACCTGCTCATTCCTTTCCAGGTATGGGAGGCCAGGGGCCAGGGTGGGAGGGCCAGGAGTCAGAGCATCCCTTCACCTCTCACATCGTCCACAGGGGAAGCCACGGCCCCAGGTGGTATGGACAAAGGGCGGAGCGCCCCTGGACACATCCCGAGTCCACATCCGGACCAGCGACATAGATACCGTGTTCTTCGTACGTCAGGCAGCTCGGTCGGACTCCGGGGAGTATGAACTTAGCGTGCAAATAGAGAACATGAAAGACACAGCCACCATCCGGATCCAAGTCGTGGGTGCGAGAGCTGACTGAGGGATGAGGAGGGGGGAGACATGATGGGGATGAGGAAAGAGAGAGGAGGGGAGATGAGGGGACTGAAGGGTGGGGAGGGGTGAGGAGGTGGGGATGGGGAGGAGGGAGGGAGTGGGGAAGGTGAAGAGGTGGGGATGGGGAGGAGGGACGGGATGGGAAAGGACCATTCAGGGCTGGGGAGGGGGCCTAGGGGATAGAGGAGTGGGCAGAGGAGATGCAATGGAGGCCTCTTGAGGAGGATTGAGGAGGGGAGCTGCCTCTGAGCCCCTCCTCCCCTCCCCAGAGAAGGCAGGGTCTCCAGAGAACGTGATGGTGAAGGACGTATGGGGCTCCAATGCCTTGGTGGAATGGCAGCCCCCCAAGGATAATGGTAACAGTGAGGTCACCGGCTACTTTGTCCAGAAGGCTGACAAGAAGACTATGGTGAGGGGAGGGCACAGGCCTGGATGGTGGGGGTTGGGGTAGAGATTTGGTTGGGGTGTCTTCATTTCATAGATGGAAAATTGGGGGGTAGAAGGCTTGGCCAGAGTCTCCCCGCGATGTCTTGCCCTCCTCCCTTGCAGAATTCTAATCCCTCGGACCCTTTCTCCCCCCGCCCCAGGAGTGGTTCACTGTTTATGAACACAATCGGCCCACGCGGTGCACGGTGTCTGAACTTATCATTGGCAATGAATACTATTTCCGAGTGTTTAGTGAAAACATCTGTGGGCTCAGTGACTCCCCTGGTGTGTCCAAGAACACAGCCAAGATCCTCAAAACAGGTATTGTCTGCCCCGGCCCCACAGGGTGGGTGGGGGCTGACCCTAGCTCTCCAGCTCCCAGGGGATGAAGAGTCCTGCGGTGAGGGGCATGTGAGGGGGCAGAGTCAGCATTTCCATATGGAGTGGGGCTTCTTAAAGGGTCAGGCCCAGCTCCTGGCCCCTTTCAGGAGCCCTGAGTGACCCGCTGGAAGGCACCAGAGCTCAGGCCCAAGCATACACGCTCCATGGGACCACCCTCCAGCTCCCCTCCCCTCCCAGATTCACGTGATCTCCGTTGGGACCTCCTGGCAGGGGAGGAAGGTGGTGGAAGTGGGATGGCCCCCATCTTACCGATGGGGAAACTGAGGCTCGGGGGGGAAGGTCACACAGTTAATAACTCAGAACCCTGTCTCCAAGTCCAGCCCTGTTTTCCCTGTGCCTCGCTGACCGTGTGCTTGGGTTTGAGTTTTTGACTCCCCTTGCTCTCTGTGCAGACAGCCTGGCTAAATTCCTGCCCATTTCCCCGCATGTAGAAGGAGGGGGTTGGAGCAGATGGAACCTTTACTCATAGTCTTGCGCCTCCGGCATGTGGTGGGTGCAGCCGTCGGGGGCCAGGGGCTGCCTAAGCTGCCTGGAGGCCCGCTGGTCAGCCCCTGGTCAGCGGGCCAAGCCCCCATCCCAGCTCGGGCAGTGGCCGCTCTCCAAGGTCCCTCCTGACTCAGCCCTGGGGTCAGCGTGTGGGAAGGGATGGGGTGATGGTGGTGGCCGTCCAAGACCCGGAGGGGCCAGGTGGGTGACCTTCTTGTCCTTTGTCCTCACTAGGCATCACCTTCAAACCTCTGGAGTTTCAGGCACATGACTTCCGCTCGGCCCCCAAGTTCTTGACCCCACTGCTGGACCGGGTTGTGGTGGCAGGGTACTCAGCCGCGCTGTTCTGTGCTGTGCGGGGATATCCCAAGGTGGGCAGAGGCACTGGGGGCCAGGGGAGGAGGAGAAGGAGCAGGACCCGGGGAGAGGAGGGCTTCCTCGGTCACAGACAAAGGCATCGAAATGAATCCAAGGACCCAGAACTGAATACTCGCTTGGCCACTCACTAACCATGGCCCAGCCGCGCCCCTCCCAGAGCCCCAGTTTCCCCATTTGTGGAGGGGGCGTATGATCTCTGAGGTCATTCTCAGCTCACACTCCAGAGATCTGCTCTGTTCCCTCTCACCACAGCCAAAGGTGGTGTGGATGAAGAACAACGTGGAGATTCACGAAGACCCCAAGTTCATAATGACCAACCAGCAGGGGATCCTGACCCTCAACATTCGCCGTCCAAGTCCCTTCGACGGGGGCACCTACTCCTGCCTAGCGGTCAACGAGCTGGGCGAGGCACTGGCCGAATGCAAGCTGGAGGTCCGAGGTGAGGATGTGGGAGGAGCTGCCTTGGGGTGGCCTGCTGGAGGAGGTGCCCACTGAGTATGGGCTAACGGCCCAAGGCCAGCCACGACTGGTGGACTTCCAGTTGGCAGCCTGCGGTCCTGTGCCTAGCAAAGCACACCCAGAGAGGCAGTCGGAAAGATTTGGAGGCAAGGGGTCTGGGTTCAAATCCTGGCTCCGTCGACGATTGGTTGGGTGGTTTTTGGCAGGTCCTTTAACACCTCTAGGCCTGTTTTCTCCTCTATAAATGGGGTAAGGGCTGGACCAGATGACCTCTAAGGGCCTTTCCAGCTCTGTCCTTTTTCAGAGGCAACTGGGTGACACACTGGAGTCTGGAGGACCCGAGTTCATATCCAGTGTTAAGACACTTAACTGTTGTGACCCTGGGCAAGTCACTTAACCACTCTCTGCCTCAGTTTCCTCATTTGTAAAAGGGGGATAATAGTAGCACCTACCTCTCAGGGTTTTTGTGAATATCAAATTAGATAATTGTACAATGCTTTGCATGTAGTGCTCTAGAAATGCTAGCTATAATTGGTAATATTCACATGTTCTGATAGGTCTTTAAGGACCTTGGAAGGCATGCTCCCCTTTTCACAGGTGGGGAAACTGAGGTCTGGGAAGCGACTTCTTTGCTATGTTAGTTCTCAGCAGAGTTTGGATTCCAACCCAAGTCTCTTGGCTATAAGCCAAAGAAATGCTCTTTTGACCACTTCCTCTCTCTTTAGTGGCAGAATGGCCTCAAAGGACCCTGCCTGACCTTGGACTGATCACTTTCAGATCAGTTCCTGAATGCTAGAGACTTATGGTGTGAACTAAGCCAGGAACCCATTGTTCAAGGGTGGTAGCCATGTAGGGGAAGGGTATGATCATAATCATCACCCTGACAGGGAGACAGCACTGACCAGAGACAAGTGACTGGGGCTGGGGAGCACAGGAGCCAGGCAGACCTCAGGTTCAGCACTGTAAGGGACCTGCCCTTATTTATAAATGGGGAAACAGAGACCCAGAGATGACGTGTGATGTGAGGATCTGAACCCAGGTCCTCTGACTACAAATCCATGGCATCACAGCACAGATGTGGAGACAGAGGGAAAGTCAATGGGGCTGAAGGAAAGGGTCCACAAGGGACCTGGCCCTTCGTTTCCCTCTCTGGGACTCAGTATCAACCTCTGAAAGATGGGGATAATGAAGCTCACACGACTTTGTTTCTTTTCTTTCCTCTCCAGTGCCACAATAATCCTTCCTAAGGGCAGCCTATGTCCCTCCTGCCCGCCCCACTCAGTTTTTGCTGAGACCCTGAAGAACCTGCCCCTGGACCCTACTCCATGGCGACCCCTCTCCCTCCAACTGATTATGTCAAACATGAGACTTGACTCTGGGCTCCTGTTGTCAATGTCTGCTACGTGGATGGATGGATGGATGGATGGATGGATGAATGAATGAATGGAGGGGAGGGAGGAGGAATTCGGGACTTCTGCTGCTGGTGCCTGCTATATGGATGGATGGATGGATGAATGGAGGGAGGGAGGGAGGGAGGGAAGGAGGAGGAATTCAGAACTTCTGCTGCTGGTGCCCACTCTGTGGATGGATGGATGGATGGATGGATGGATGGATGGATG